CGAACCTTCACCAAGGCGTGATGCACTCGATCCTGGCAATGAGCAGCAAACACATTGATTTTGACACACCGTACGGCGCCAAGTTACTCGAGAGAAACCCGACAACCACCCTTGAGGCGCTACAGGCCCGGTCAGCGTACCACGAGGAACAAGCGATGAAGACTCTGTACGCCGACATGAATCGTTCGGCCGATGAGGACAGCGAGGATCGCGAAACAATCTTGTCGGCCCGCTACGCCCAGATCCTTTGCCTCCTCGTCACCACGCTGATTGAGGGCGAACCTCACGGCGCGCATCGTGTGCACCTGAGCGGTTACAAGCAATTGATCCAAGAGACGCCTCCAGAGGATCCCGTCTTTCTAGCCTTCATCACCGAATTCTTCCAGTACCACATCTATGCAGACGAATTACTTTGGCATCCCGCAACTAACCGCCCACGCCTAGCCTCCGAAGACTGGAGCCCTCTGGTCCCGTTAGACTCGCCTCGTCTTCTGGGTGTTGCCGATGGCCTGTTTCAATACCTGTGCCACATAACCACCATCCGAAACGCCATCCGCGATAACATTTACAGACGCGCCGAGACTGTCGTAACGTATCACGTTCTGTATCGAGCGCAAGAGATTCAAGAGGCAATTGAGCAATGGATGCCTCTTTGGCCGCCCGGCGATAGCCGTCACAGAGTCGGGTTGGTTTACAAGCACATGATGTTCCTGCATCTCTTCCGCACAATCTACCCCCCTACTTCTCCAGAGAGACGGCCTTCTGTCTACTCTATAGCTACATCTGTCGCCACCTCAACCTCGTCGTCTTCCTCCCGCCGGCATTCACAGATCTCTAGGCCGTCTACTGCCACGAGCTGCGCCTCGTCTCCCGGCCTGAGACCTAGCATGGGTTCCGGATTCCCCTCTTCGATGCAGCTCAAACGGGAGCCAAACTCTCGAGGACCGTCCAGGACGAGCTCGATGCACGAATCCGATGCCGGATCCTCGAGCTGCGCTGTGATTGATGAGCAACGCCCAGCCTCTCCGCCGCCAGTTCGTCGCCCGCAACAGCATGATAATCGCATCACTGCTGCGGTGGACGAGTCCCTATCGATCATGGAGGGTTTCAAGCCATCAGACCCAGCGCTCACCCTGTTGCTGATGCCAAGTCTGGTTATTGGTACTACATGCTTTGACCCCACACAGCAAGAGCGACTTCGAGGCATCATCCGGTCCGTCCGGGGCTACACTGGTCTTCGCAACTGCGATAGAGTCCTCGAGGTCCTTGAAGAAGTCTGGCACCTCATGGAGTGTGGTGAATGGATTTCTGTCTGGGACTGGCAGGGCGTTGCCAGGCGCCTTGGGCTTGATTTCTTGTGCACCTGAACTAGCCAGTTCACGGCGGATGGCGCCAATCCATCCGCGCTGTTCTTGTACTCGCCAGATGCTCTTCACACTGTTTTTTCTTTTATTGCCTTCATCCCGGTATACCCGCGCGTTGTATTTTTCTTCTTTTTCTCTACCTTTTCTCTCACTCACATCTTCCCTCTTCCTCCTCGGGTCGGCACTATTGTGGTCGGAGTTACTGGAGGAAGCATGTCATGGGGGCGACATCATGTACAGGGGCCACTTGCATTCCGGCTTCGCACAACGCCATGGGATTGGGATAGGCAACGGGGGGGGGGGGGGGGGGGGGGGGGAGCGATTGTTGAACCTCGGGCATCCTAGACAACAAGACGGGATGGCAGTCGGAGATTGCTAGCTTGTCGTCACGTTGATCCTTTTTCTGCTCTCCGCACGGCGGCGTTTCTTTTTGTATCTTGGGAGGGTTGGCTGCCAATCTTTTATTTTCATATTTTCTTCTTCTGTCTTGTGGTTTCGTATTGGCTTTGGGTTAATGGGACGGACAAGGAACTGTCTGGATCTGGGCGGCTCGGACTCTGTTCCGATTTGAATTTTTCGCAACATCTGCTCTGCTCGTAGAACGGCTTCCCCGGTATTGGCTCTGGGGAAAGTTGGAAGCGATGCATGCAAGTATCGTAAGCCAGTATCATGGCACTGGAGGATTTGGTCGCAACACAATACAATCTGCGCTGGTTGCGCCTCTCCTCACTCTTGCAATCCCGTCTCACCTCGCACTCTGCTCTCATGCCAACCTTGCTGTTCACAGAAGCCATCTCGCAAGGTATAGTACCGTGTAGGTATCCGTAGACCACGCGTGTGGGATGGAGTGACATGCCGCCCTCAGACTTTGGATGGTCCGATATTCGCATCCGAAGCGTGGGTGCGTGGGTGCGTGGGTGCATGTTCGGACTACGAGGTTGTGCAGTGAAGATCCCTATTTGCCGACGGCCGTGAGAGCCGAATTATCCCTCCCACTCACCCCAGCCCCATCCCTTTGCTCTGCAGTCGCGTACTTTCCACCGTGGTACCTTTCCATATAACATGAATGATTAGTAACGGAGAAATAAGAGATAGGTCAGATACCGGCACTGATCATTGCGTCTGGAATTATCTTAGTCTGCAAATCTAACCACTGGTTCATCTCCCGAGCCTCGACTTGCCTCCAACGATGTCGAGGACGGACATTGTTCTCCCGTTGGATGGGAGCCGGTCACTGGGATGGATCATGGAAGGGGTGCCGGGGTGTCAGTTCCAGGGTCAGGGTCGAGGTGTGTAGTGGGGGCGGGGGTTATCTGTATCCGTGTACGGAGTACGGATATGGGATAGTCGAGGTCGCTGTGAGATGCTGCAGGGAAACGGAGCTCGGCTGCACATTGAAGACCAAAAAAAAAAAGTTTCAATCTTTCTTTGTCCGCCTCACTCTCGCGAGACTCCAGAGTCCAGGGTGAGGGAGCTAACCTCGCAATAGGTAGCATGCTCTACAGAGTGCAGATAGAGACAGACCCATCTATCCTCCAGGCAGGCCTCCAATCTCTCTCTCTCTCTCTCTCTCTCTAGCCCCAGGGCCCCTGTCGATGGCCATCGCTAAGCACGCTGCACTGGCACGGTGCAGTTGGAGGTTGGAGCTACGGGTGAACCGGGGGTGGACGTGATGTGATGGTGCGCAATCTACGGAGTACAGACTATGGGACCAGGGGGGAGCTCGGAGAGGAGAGGACAGGACGTTGGAGAGATTTGGGGGCCCTACACTACTGAAGCTAAGGTAATTCCCGTTTGTTCTTGGCCGGGGGCCTGGGTCGATGTATCTGTGCGTCTGAGGCATGGACGGGGGGTTTTTTTTTTTTTTTTTTTTTTTGACCGTGGGAGATATCACTGATTGTTTCTTGTCTATTGAATTTCGGCGCCGGACGGATTGGACCTTGTTGCTTTCTTAATCTTACCTTGACTACCCAAAGTGCCCTAGGCAGCACCGGTATCGTGTTCTCGAATGGGCGAGTGGGGATGGAGTACGGAGGATCAGACTGGGTTGAAGTTCACCTATTTCGTTCCTCATTCCCGTCGGATACTCGGGCGGGAAGGCTGCCGTGTGTGCGTTGGTTGTCTGTCTGGTTCATCCTCAGTTCTGCTGCACGGCACGGATTTCGGATGATTTCTTTGGAGGGGAGTGTTTTCGTTTGCTCGAGGTGCTGGTGATCCGCTATAGACACGAGAGAAAGTGGTGCTACCGTTGGGAAAGCGGAGAGGCTCTCCGCTTTTCATTTGCCCCCGGGGTCCTCTTGAGTCCAGAGTCCAGGGAAGAGGAGTCCCTGAGGAGGGGGCGCATCGAAGGAGGATTTGGTGGGAACATTGAAGCAAAGTAAGGCGAGAGCAGCCATTGTTACGGCTGGGAAAGAGACGGGACGTGTCGCTGTCAAGGTTGGACCAACCTACCGTGTTCACGTCGCACAGAATCGTCGGCCGGTGTTTGAGGGGGGTATCCCCCGGAACGGCGCTTCGGGATGGTCGACGGCGCGCTGCGGGAAAGAATGGCGCGGGGTGATGGTGGTGGTGGTTGGTACGTGCTTTGTCTTCAAGGTTTTGCTTGCTTTTTTCTACATTCCTACCTATCCGTATATCGCCTCGTCTGTCCGTACCCATTTTGCTTTTTTACACTTGCAGAGTCTGAGGGTACTATCCCGACGTCTCGAAACCGAGACATGCAGAGACATCTGAGCCAACGAGATGCGGTAGGTATCGCTGTGCGCACTGCCCAGTGACGACTCTGGCCGGCCTGGCGAGTGGATTGACAAGGGACAGGCCTGATCAAAACCGTCAAAGTCGTGATGTCGTCGGACATGGGGTGGTCTCCACCTAACCGGCGTTATCTGATGAGCTGTTCATTGCTACAAGAAGTACTTTGTCGCGAGATGAGCTGGAGCAGACCCCGGGGTGCCGAGCCACGATGGTAACGATTGGTATCCACGGAATAGCATAGTTTGGACGTGCAGTCAAAGGGTAGGTTTACATTGATGGCTACAAAGTCATTGGAGACAAAAGAAATCTTTCGAGTTGCTGCAAAGTGCAATCTACGTTGCGTTAAATCGGCCATCGTACAGGGGACGGGCGCAACATGTCGCAAAGTCCCTTTCCTCTACTCTGTACGGATACAAGCCAGCGAGCCCAGGATCTATCCGCAAACGTGTTCTATCGTACAGGCTGGGGCCATCGCATTCCCAGCCACGCATTATTGTGCCTGTGGACGCGCAAGTCGCATCTGGACGAGCCACACATCCAACTCATCAATGCCCCAGTCGATGGATGACACGTATCTGGCAAGCTGGTGTCATGTTCATCTCTTCAAGCTTCATCCCATATCGGCCGAGTCCATCGACCCAGTCGCATAATCGATCAGCGCCAGATCTTTGTCCGATCTAAGGGTCGTCCCGGGAGTTGATTGGCACAGTAGGACCAGTGGAGGGGGGGTTTCATCAGATCTGAGCTCGCGTTCCCCGCTGTCCCATCACAATCACTCGATCTCGTCTCGTCTCGTAGCTCGACTCTTTGATCCGGCAGCCTCAACGCTGGACCCTGTACGGCCATCGAACTCTTGGCGACTTGTCCAAAGCATATTCCGACTCAGACGTACATGCCTCGATCTTCACCCTCAATCAGTTTGACAGTGACGCCGTTCTTGCCGTCGCGAGCGATCTCATACTTGCCACCGAGGACCAGGTCCTTGGCAACAAGCTCGCGTGTGCGGCCGAGCGACTCAATGTCACTGATGCGCTGGATCGTAGCCTCCAGATGATCCCTGAAGCTCTTCTCGGCGCAGATCTCCTGGAACGCGCGGTGCATGGGCACAGATGAGGCGCGGACGTCAGCGTTGGCCGCGATACTGAATAGGTTGAGCCGGTCCATGTTGCGGATGAAGTCGGCGCGCGTCATGATTTGCTGCGCCTTGTGCATGGGGAATTTGGGCAACATGTGGCCCTTCTCGTCGTCGTAAAGCTCCATGTCTTCTTCCTCATCTACGAGGGCTTGGGCGAGGACCATGGCGCCGGCCTGTCATTGATTGTCAGTTAAGTTTGCCCACTAGAGAGAGTCCTTGTGCCAGGTTGGGACAATGTGTAAAGGGGGGATGGTTACGTACAGCCCACTTCTGCTGGTCCATCACGTCGTCGTCCATCTCGGCGCCGAGAATCCAGCACTGGTTGAGGAACCATGTTTTCTCGACCGCGCAGATGGATTTACAAGTAGCAATCATATCCCTACTCTTTGCAACGCGGTTCAAGAACGATAGTCGGCCGCCCACAAGGTCATAGACCTCCTCGAGTTTCGTCGGGCTCAGCTTTTCGTTGAAGTACTTGATGCGGTACTTTGCGAGAGCTGCGATAGCTTGACGTTTGGGCAGGTCGCGCACCGACATGATCTCCATCCGCGTAGCCAGCTGCTTGAACCGCTCGTAAACCCAGTAGTCATCCGTGTTGAAGACCATTGTCACGAGGTTGGACGCCGCCCACTGTTCGGCACGTTGCTGGAGAAGTTCAATCAGATCCTTGCCATCGTCGTCGTCGCGTATCAGGTGCATTTGGTTAATGATGACAACCAGGGGCTTCTTTCGCGTAGACCGGTTGACGAGAGCAACCTTTTCAAGCTTGTTGAGGGCACGTTCGATATCCAATAAAGCCGTCGTATCGCGAGGACCGCGTTCGCTGAAGTATCCGCCAATGTAATCTTCGTGGAATTCAAAGTCGAGGGCCTTGCCAAGGCGTATGCGCACAATCTCCAAATCTGCGTGGGCCTCAAACATGGCCACGCCTTCGCCGTCAATTTTGCGCATGGCCTCAATTAGCATGCTGCTCTTGCCGGTCCCCTTCTCGCCCATGAGCAAGAAATAGTGCCCAGCCTCTGAGCCATCGATGATTCTGTCGACGCGTGCCTGCTCTGGCCGCTGCACCCACCGATCATCGGCCTCGACGGTGGTTTGTGGCACTTCCTTTCCGATGGCGGCGAGCTCAAGAACGGGGTCACCCGGCGTGAAGGCGCGGGTCATCTTCTTCAGGACAATACGCTTGTACGTCTTGTGGTAAGCGTAGCCTGCCACTGCGAAGCCGGCCGCAAGAACGAGAATGGAGGCGAACGATGTCGCGGCAGACTCGAGCATCTTCTTGGGAAGACTGTCACCGCCATCGTGGGCTCTAGGGGCGACAGGTTCTGACTTTGAGCTTGATTGTGATTGATCTAGGTTGGAGGTCAGCTCTTGTTGCAATGATAGATATGGCCACGGTGAGGACCAGCTGAAGTAGACGTTTCACTTGAGATCCCTCTTCATTGGCCGAAGACGCAAAGTCCGTTTTACTGGGAAGTGCATAGGCGACAATCGTCTCCAAGCAAGATGTGACAGCAGCCGGTTCGCAGCCTGATTCGCTGTGGAAACCAGTCGAGATCTGACCTGCAGCATCTTGGCTTGCATGATCGGGTCTTCGGCTACACAGAGATGTAGCATCCTTGTCCAAAGCATCCAGAAGAAGCGGAAAGCTGGCGCCCAGCCTCGCGCAGCCGCACCCCTTTTGGAGTCTTGCAGGTGCCACATCACATCCATCTCGCCAACATTACACGAAGGAACATTGCACCGACGACAAGAAAGGATGGGAAACGAAGAGGGGTAACCGACGAAGAAATGAGAACATACGCGCACCAACTCACCGGATCTTGCTGGCGGGTGTGTGGAGAAGTAGGCGGCGGGTGTCTTGACGGCCGATGAAGGTGGTGCCAATGCCGGTGCTGACAGCGGCCCCCAAGGACCGCGGCGGCAGCCACGCGTTCCAATCCACCGGGTCGGAGAGGGGCGCAAGTACGACAGCATAAGCTGCCCACCCTTGCTCACCAAAGCCATCGTTAATATGTAATGAGCATCTGCAGGGCCTGCTGCGGCTCGATTCCAATGTCGACGGGTCGCTGAACAGTCCTCGCCGAGTGGAAAAAGCGTCTCGGAGTGGGGGGGAAAGGCCGGCCGGTTCTGGCGGGCAGCAAATGTGGTGTAGGGAATTAAGCAAGGCAGGGCGGAGAGTGCGCGAGATTTTGGATTGTTTATGGAACAGACAACAGGATAATTAAAGAACGAAAGAGAAAAAAAAAAACACGACAAAGAGTCAGTGTCGGTCAAGCCACAGGGGAAAACAAGAAACACAACGTCGGTGGTACTAAAGGAGGAGGACTCCGAGAGCTCCTTGCTACATCTTTGGCCTTTCTTGGCATGGGTTTTGACCTTCTTTCCTTGGCATTGGCCCCTGCCCAGCTGAGGGACGAACCCAAGTGTGGCGCACTCAGATACCACGAGGTGGGTGCAATCACGTGAGGTGTCTGGGTGGAGATGTGGCTGATATCGAAACACCGTCCCTTAGGTAAGCACCAAAACGTCTATTTGGCTCCACAAATCAAGTACCGAATTCAGGTAGCTGTGGATCCAAGCATCTCAACGACAAACCGATGGCGACGCTTCATCAAACTGTTGTCTGCTGAGAAAAGGAATCAGTACATGTTCCACAAAGCCAAGCCTGACCTCTTAACTTCTATGATGTTTTCTTCACTGTTGTTATGGGTTTCAAATGCTTGATTATATCTTTCTCTTCTTCCCGAACTACCTAGCCCATCTCTCTCGACTGATGTACGGATAGAGACTAATATATCTTTTTACGGGAAACAGTATTACTATGTACCCACTAAGCATATTTCTGCTGGTGCTTTGGTCCTTAAATCCACATGAAATAATGGCAGCACCAGTTTATGTTTCTTCTATCCTCTTCAATTAGGTTTATTGCGAAACTTGTTGGCGTGAGATATTCGTGGTCTCTCTACCTCATTACCAAATAATACTACCCAGCATTTATTGCAAAGACTTGAAAGTGTAGACTGAACTGGATAGGACTGGCTCTAGTCAAGACAGATAGAAATACCAAAGTCGAAGCAATTTTTGCGTTCACAAGAAATCAAATGATATATGCTACACTGTTCTCAGTGATCATTTGTGCAGTCTTGTCTCTCTACAGATAGAACCCCCATCCGTGTCTTTCATGTTGTTCCTGTCAACAACGCGAGGTACCTTATCCTCACCGAGAATCACCATCACCTCAGGTGGCTCGGTCTGTGCGTTGACTTCACCATCGTCCCTTCCCTCTCACTTGCCCCCTTTGCCTGACGCACCTGCCCATCACGCGCTTCACTATTTATTTTTCCCTCCCACAAAGGTATTTTCATTCTGCCTTCTCCAACTACCGCACACCTCACTCTTCTCATTCTCTTCCTGCCCTCTCATATCAACAACCTCTTCTCTTGCTCCTCCAACCTTCGCATCAGGTATTGTTCTTCTACGAGCTTCAGCATTGCTCCGCGATTGGCAATATTGGAAGGTATTGCATAGGCACCTTTAGTTTGTTGTAGAGGCTGAGAGAGTATGTCACCAAAGCTTCATCTTTTTCTTTTCATTCCCCCAGACACTGACTGATATTGGTGCAGATCCTCCCTGGTCGGCTAAACTTTTGGGGCTTGGACATTGTGAAAATCCTGCTTGGATTACTCTATCCTCTCTCTTGGGTTCATTGTACCAACTATCCGACCTGCTTTTGTGCTACTGTCCAATTCATCCAACACCTTACGCGGAGCTACTAAGTCTGCCAGCTGTGCTACAGCCTCCAGCGCAACAATGGCACCAAAGAAAAGCAAGAGTTCGCAGCTTTCGCGTTTTCGATCAGATTCTGATCACTCACTTGCTCAAACTTCCAACACCCCTCGTCAGGTTCCTCCTTCTACTCAGTCACAAACCCGTCCACCGACTCCGAGACCCAATGAAGTTGATCGATCCACTCCTCTCGCGAGGCTTTTTCGACGTAACCGAACCAACACTACACTCAATACCGCCCATCAGCTAGCCTTGGAAGCCCCCCCTTCCAAAATCGAGCGCAGCTCCCCGGCCACTGCCCCGGCCCCGGCCCCAGCTCCACCTCCGCCTCTTCCCACTCCTCTTCTAGCGGGATGCCCAGGCCGCGAGATCACGGGCGCGAAGACCAACGGTCGCGAATGGGCTTGCGACTTGGACGAGCCTCCTGTCTTGGACTATTCCGAGGAGCTTTCCAAGACTGACTTCGATGAACACCCACTGGCCCATTACATCAAGCTGGAAAAGGGATGGCAGAAACACCAGCTTGCCATGTACGGCCTCATATTGCCAGCCAAGGTCGAGAACGGCACTCCTATCTATACTTGGGAAAGTGACCCTGAAGACGAAGAGGATATGGTAATGGACATGGCATTGGTGCTTTCAAAGGAGAAAAGACAACCTGCCAAGCCATCCGCCCAAGTGGAGCGACCAAGAACGCCCTCGAACATTCTTCACAAAGTCAAGTCTTTCGCCAACTTCATTGCCACATCTGATGCAGAGAAGGAAGTCCCCGAGCTCCCAACGTTGAAAGAACTACTTGACCAGTTCGGTCTACCCCCCGGAACACCTCACGACTCGGCGCCTCGGAGCTTTCTTCGTCCGACCCGGTCTAGCAGCTCTCTGCGACCAAAGACGCCCACTCGACCTGTCCCTAGTGCTACCAAGTTACGCAGCAAGCGAAGCGCAGGAATCGAAAGATCCCAGATCTCTAATCCCATCGCTCCAGAGGAAATGAGACGTGTTGGATCCGACTTCAGTCAGGCGGTGGCTCGACGCGGCAGAAACGTTTCGGGAGGCGAACGAGATTCGCTCTATGCATCATCTTTGCGAAGCCCATCAAACTTGGTCTCTCCATCCCTTTCGACGAGCGTCCCTCTGTATCTACTTCAGCCTCAACACCCTACCGTCTACTTTGGACAGAACGAGGCCCCTCCCGAGTTTCGACATGCCCCGCCTCGTCTAGCTCCCATGGAATACACTCGACAGTACTACATCGCCAAAGCCAAGGCAGAGAGGGAAGGCGTCGACTGCACAATCCGCAAGCCTGAAGCAGTCTGGGCTTGGACAGAAGACTTCAAGGAGTTCCTTCTGCTTCCGCAACTTCCCGCAGGCCTCCAAAGAAACTTCTTGCCTGACGATGGCAAAGACTGGAAGGCTTCCAAGATGGGTCGGTCATCCAAGAACAAAGATATCGGCAAAAGAAATCCCTTTGTTCCTCTTCCGTTGGACCTCGGCCCTTCCACCCCGCTCATGCCTGCACACTTCCACAGCCAGTCATACTCCTTCATCAGCTCAGACCATAAGTACCGTTCATCTAGTGATGGATTCTATCTCGATCGTCCCGCAGCGGCCAGATATGAGAGTCTAGTGCAGTCAACAAGGTTGCTGCTCGACAACTCTTCTACTCCCGTGGTGAAAGAAGACAATGATTGCTTTGTTGGTGTTTCTCTCAATACCACCAGCGAGACAACAGGCTTCTCTCGCCCAGGAATGATTGAGGCATCTCCTCTGAACAGGGCTTCTATCACAGCACCACCCTTGTCTCTTGCTTCCCACCGAGCTTCCAGTGAAGCGCAACCGACAGATATACTCACAGCTACCCTTCCTCTTCCTTACAAGGCTGAACAGCTGCCCCTTGAGGGTCATCATCGGGTCAGCAGTATCACACAAGCTGCATTGAATGAAGTCGCTTTGCGCGGTTCCTCTCATGAGCCTTATCGGAGAAGCACTGCACCATTGTCATTGTCAACAACAAGTGTTGCAAGAAGCTTACCTACACATCGGTTAAAAACTGGGATGACAGAAGTGCACGCGTCGCCTTGCTATGGTTCTGCAACTTCGTACGAAAGATTTCGCCATCAGTTCACACTCACAGCCACAGGTTACAGGGATGAGAACAACGTATCGCCTCTCAGTTTTGAGCATTTGCAAGAAATGCCCTTTAATGGAAATGTGTCTCCTCTGAGCAACTCGCCGGCATCTGCACAGACTGAGGTCTTTGCGCCAGAGGTCATGCGGAGACAAGAGACTCAAGAGACTTTGGACGACGCTCTGACACCCATGGTTGAAGATGAGACATTTCACCAAAGCATCTCAGATGATGCGGCTGACATTGCAGATACTTCTTCCGTTTACTCACAGGATAGTACTGTTACAGCAGTTCACCATCCTTTGACTGAATGTCGCCCTTCTTCTACAGACTTGATGTTACTGGCGCCTACGACCAGTGAGCTTGAGAATGGAGAGGGTTTGACCCCGCGCCAACCAGAGAACCTTCCTTCCCATGTCACTCGCTCTCAGGAAAGAACTTCACGACACTCACCCGTTCTTGAAGCTGTTTCATACGTTCCAAGTTCAGAGACTGCCCAGTCTTATGTCGCCCATGAGGAGACTTATGACACTGCTGATAACAGATACTCTGAGGCTCCATCCAGTACCATCAGCAACTTTTCATCGCAAGTAACTGGATCTACTGCGGACCGACACGATCGCTACTCTGCTGCTTCGCATGTGAGTACGGCCACATCTGTTTCGGCATCCGCCTCTTTTCGACTGCCCATCCAAGGCACTCTGGCCAGCCTGGAAAACGATTATGTCAGGGCCAGTAGCAAGTATGCACGCAAGGTGGGCACTGAGATACCGGCCCCGGAGGCTTCCTCAAGAATCTCCAGCATGCGGGCCAAGGACCCTCTCCCGCCCTCCCGGAGCTCTGTCACGAGAAACCCATCGTCTTCTCCTGGCATTCCTTCCTCAGTCACCTCAGCCGATACTGCTGCCTACTACCGCCAGAAGCGCCTTCCTAAGCGACCAGAGCCGGCACAAAAAGATCCCGTCACCGAGGCCATCGAGTCTTCTCGCAACTCAGAACTTCCATCTCTCCACGTCAGAAGACGCAGGGCAGTCCCGAGCCTTCCTCAAATTTCGGCATCTCAGGCATACCCGAAGCCGCTGAGGCTCAGCACGATGAAGAGTCCCAGTCCGGCGCCTACGGCATCAACTGCCGACCGCGCAGCTTCCGCTGCCAGCAGTGGAACTGTCGCGCGTTCAACTTCGAGGCTTATCACGGATATCGGAAACGAGTTGAACCGCGAGATGGAAGAAGTCTTGTCGCCTCGCTCCGCCGCCATGGCTCACCGCCCGCTGTCGCCAAAGAAGGAAGCTGACGTCGATACGCCTACTCGTCGCCCTCGCCAAGTCCAGTCGATGAAGTCAATTCCCTTCGACGCGCCTCCTCTCCCGGCGCCCAACAAGCCACTTCCCTCTATCCCGAAGCCCAAGACGCCGAAGACCAAGGCGTCAATGCCCAAGATGAAGACTGAGGCCCCTGATTCTGCCTTCATCGATGTGGACTTTGGTCCCGGTCCTGCCAGGTCTTACGTTCCCGCCCGCCCGCCGCCGCCCATCCCTGTCTTGAAGCCTATTGACACCACTTCGCCGTCTGCTTTCGACACGACTTTCGACCCTTATGTCACGCGAGCCGACTTTTCCATCAAGAGAGACCGCACAGTCCGTCCCGCGGCGTCCATGGCGACGATGTCTCCGCGTCCTAGTAAGTTCATCCGCGACCTCGACGTCGATATCCGTACTGACAACCGCCCGAAGCACCTTTGGTCGACCAGCCGGCAAGCGCGGCTTATGTGCAGAGACCCGCCAATGCGCCTTCCAGATTCTTGGGTAAGATGGCATCGATGGCCGAACTCAAGAATGGCAGAAGAGATACGATTTCGAGTCGTTCGACTGACAGCGACGATGCCGTGGGTATGAGAACTTTCCTTAGCGAGGACAGTGCTGCTTCTTCGGCGTCCTCGTCGACCAGAGACAAGGCCACATCGGGATCGAAGCGGAAGTTCTTGAGCAACTTGTTCAAGAGAAACCGCAAGGATGGAGAGCAGTAAATGTTTGGTATGGAGAGAGTGTGAGGATTAGGAGAGAGCAAGGTCTGAAAGGGGATGTTTACAGACTGAGCTATGTTATACGTATTTGTACAACTCGGAAGAGAGATGATGGCCTGGGAATTGGGGATTGTGTATAATGGTTTGACAAGTACATTTCTCATTAGGAGATATTAGACTTGACGCAGGGCAGGAATCATCAATGATCAATGTGTTACTCGACTTCCTCGGTTTGCTCTGCCATTGACCACGCCTCTACTTCGCGAAGATGGCCTCTTTAGCCTCTGCGATTGTGACGCAGGGCCGCAGTCACAAGCGATAGGCCATCTGTCCATCTCGATAACCTTGTTGATCGAGACGGGAAGGGCCTACAGGATGGATATATGTGTCCTTTAAAAGGTCAATGATGGCGAATCCCTTCGTTCCCGCGCATCCATCGTGGTACGGAAATCCGAGTAAAGTAATCCTTGGTATTGAACGAGGATCAACATATTGCTGAGTGCCCTGACAATAAAGACTGATGCGGTCAACGGAGGGGGGGGGGGGGGGGGGTGTGTGTTTATCTCAGAAGCGTGGGGCTAGTCATCGATTCTAATAGCAGAATGAAGGAAACAAAAGTAAAGAGTTCGGGGGTGAAACAGTAGGGTTGGCTGAAGAAGATATGGGTAACGAGCCAACTTCAATCCACAATGTTGACGAGGTAAAGTCATTCCAGACCAGCCTTTTGAGTGGTCTCGGCTGGGAATTATGTCATCCGGGCCCGGCGTCCAGGTGGGGATGGATCCTTCCGATCGCTCTGTCCGGGCCGGCAGGTGGAGAGTACCCTGGCGGAATCCTTGAGGGGGGAGCGAGGGGGGCCTGGCTGCTGCAACGCCTCAAGGCAAGTACGCACCTTCAAAGGAGGTCCTACCGGGCCGTTGACTATTCCAAAACTGTCTTTCATTATCTCATATTGCCAATGACACATGTCGTAGTCGGTAACTGGAAGAGAGAAAAGAAAGAGGCAATGAATCGACCAAACGTGTGGCCCCAACGCCGATCATCGTCTTCCATCAAGCTACCACCGCTATTGCGCGGACAGGAGACGTGGCGGACCACGCAGAGTCGACGCGGCTGGAACACTTTGGCTGCGCGGCTAGAGTATATATAGCCCTGTCCCCGAGATTGTCAAATTCCATTCAATCACATTGTTTTCGTTTTTGTTGTTACGTTTGTGGTCCCCAAACAAGCGGCAAGGAGGCTGATGGAATGTTGGTTCGGGTGTCGTGCAGACCCGGGTCGCCGGAACGGGAACGGGAACGGAGCCCATCACCCTTCTGTGCTAAATTTGAACCCAACGTGCAGTCTCCGTACTCTTCGTACTTCAATTGATGCTCCCTATGTCGCTATTATCCGACGGGAGGATTTGGAGAAGCCGAAAGAGAGAGGGAGAGACGCAGGAAAGCTCCCTGTGCTTAGTATGATTGGACCACCCGAAAGAACTGGGGATCTGCCATTGCAATTGAAGGCTATTTTAGACACGGAAAAGGCCAGTATAGTAAAAGCACTTAATCGTCGACAGCCGGGGCCCAGCAAGTTTTCAGGTCCGTTTTCATGCTTTTCCAAGGGGAGGTTTTGCGCGCTCTCTTTTCTCTGGAATGATGCGCGCACAACCGAGACAAATCGAGTTGGCGGCTCAAGATTACGCAGTAGACATCTCTCTCCTCTTTGTTTTCCTTACGCCGGCGGGTTTTCCCCCGTTTTAACCTGACTTGCGCGCGCGGCGAGTGCGACCCCCCAAAATCAGAAAGGTCTCCAAAAACCAAACTTCTTGATGGGAAATTTCCCACCGCACTGGCGATTTGGAGATGCCAATGTTTGCCAAGGGGTTCGAGCTGGAGAGAGAGAGAAACGGGAGGCCCCGACTTCGAGCCTACGCGCCGGACGGAAACTGATAAGTTGACAAGTTTCCCCCAAAGGCGAGCGTCACACCTGCATACGCGCTTTGCTTGAATAGATTTCCTCTTCAAGAGTGTTTTGTTTCATTCTCATTCATTCCTTTTTCCAGACACTCATTCTAGACCAAACTTACCCATAGACACACACTCGTTGTAGAAAACACAAAAACCGCGCCAGTTTGAATAAGGCAACAGTACAAAATCCACCACCACCAAAAGAAGAAGAAAAAAAAACCCCCCACAATGAAGCTCTCCCTCCCCCTCCTCCTAGCCCCCCTCGCCGTCCTCGGCCTCCCCACCACCGACGACACGGCATCTCCCTCTCACCACGCCGCCCGCGGCACGGGGCCGCACGCCCACCACGCCGCCGTCCACCTCCTCACCCGCCAATCCCCAACCAGCATCGACAAGCTCTTCAAAGCAAAGGGGAAGCTCTACATTGGCGTCTCGGGCGACAACGGCATCATGCAGCAGGGCAAGACCGCCGCCGTCATCCAGCAGAATTTCGGCCAGGTGACGCCCGAGTATTCCATGAAATGGGACGCCATTGAGCCCACTAGGGGCAACTTTGACTTCACAAACTCGGATTTCCTCGTCAACTTTGCGCAGAAGAATGGCAAGAGCGTGAGGGGGCATACGTTGCTCTGGCACCAGGCTCTGCCGGCGTGGGTGTCTGCCATCAAGGATAAGGCGACCATGACCAAGGTGATTGAGACGCACGTCAAGACGATTGTGGGAAAGTACAAGGGCAAGATCAGGTCTTGGGTATGTCTTTTTTTTTTTTTTCTTTTCTGCACTTACAGAGTATCTCAAAACGGGTTCTTCATTCCGTTTTGATATCCTCTTACAAATTTGACCGTATGCTGACAAAGGTACAAAGGACGTCGTCAACGAAGCCTTCAACGACAACGGCACAATGCGCAGCACAGTCTTCTCCAACGTCCTGGGCGAAGCCTACATCGGCGTCGTCTTCCGCGCCGCGCGTCTCGCGGATCCCGCGGCAAAGCTGTACATTAACGACTACAACCTCGACAACGCCGGCTGGGGCAAGGTCACGGCGTTGGTGAGCAAGGTGAACCAGTGGATCGGGCAGGGTATCCCCATTGATGGCATTGGTGAGTTCACGTCTTTTCGTTCTTCTTACCCCCACTCCCTCCTCCCCCCCTCCATGGAGAAGTATCTATATGAGATGCTTGTAGATGGAGGCGAGGCCAGGGACGAGGAAAGGGAGACACGAACAACCAAGACGAAAACAAGGGGCATGACTAACACCACAACCCAGGCTCCCAAGCCCACCTCGCAGCAAACATGTCAGGCAACATCCAAGCCGCCCTCGAAGTCCTCGCCCGCTCCCGCGCCTCCGAAATCGCAATCACCGAGCTCGACATCCCCGGCGCGCCGCCCAACGACTACGCCACCGTCGTGGCCGCCTGCCTCAACGTGCCCAAGTGCAAGGGCGTCACCGTCTGGGGCGTCAGCGACAAGCAGTCGTGGATGGCCACCGCCAAGCCCCTGCTGTTTGACGAGAACTGGAACCCCAAGCCTGCGTATAACGCCATCGCTGCGAGGTTGCGTAAGTGAGGGCGAACCTCAGGAGAAGCAAGGGATTGAGGATTGGTATCAACCGTGGCATTGGTATTTGTATTAGAAAGCTCTGTTATATACCTGATACATAAGACGAGAGACTGTGCTTGCCGACTGCTTGTCAAGCGTCGTGGAGCTGAGCTTCACTGCGCTCAAACTTCCAGAGCCTATCTGCTCAATTATTCACAAACATTTTCCTGTCCAACCAAACATGACATAGCCTGGATCCTATCATGTGGGATGCATGAGTAGAGCTAGGTACTAGCTGATAGAAAGGAGGTAGACTGGCTTTGGCTCCCAGCCCTTGTCCTCGAAACCTAGAACAGGGCATTTCATAGAGATATCACGTCGTTGTATAGATAGCTGCTTGATATGCTAGCTGGAACATGGAAAAGGACGAGAGGGAAAAGTCTCCAACATACGCGCATTCTCATCGTTATTCGGCTATATATATATATATATAACTATATATATATATAAATCGCCTTGTAAACTAAATCACGATATTGGACAGGTCACGTATCACTCATGTACACCAGAGTCTTTTGAATGTTGATCAATTAAATAATTCTCATTCCTCATGAACGAATCCTCTTAAGAATACAAAATGCCACCCAACGCCGTCGCAATGAAGTTTGTATGATACAAGACTGTTTTCTCTGGCCCAGGAAGCCAAGGGGAACAGTATGAAATATGTGTATGTTTGCGGTGTTTCCAATGTACGGGACAGTTCAAACACCAGAGCAATCCCATGCGCTTAGGCAGTGGCATTAACCCTCTCCTCCTCGCTCGCAGACTCGTGGTGGCGCTTGTGCGTCTCGTTGCGCCACTTCGCAGAGGTGATGGGGTTGACGTGCTGGACGTACATGGTGTCAATCTCCTCGAGGGTGCGGTCCTTGGACTCGATGACGAAGAGGAAGACAATGATAGCCAGGGCGGCACAGCAGCCAGCGAAGACGAGACCGTAGAGGTAGTCAATGGCATCGACGATGTAGCGGGTGAAGAAGGACATGAGGCTGGGAAGCAGTTAGTTGGGTGTTTTATGCATTTGAAAGTTGGAGGCACATACAAGTTCCAGAGCCAGTTTGAGGCGGTGGCAAGAGCCATGGCGGGAGCACGGTAGCGAGCAGGGTACAGCTCAGCGACGACAGCCCAAACGAGAGGACCCCAGGTCGTGGCGAAACCGGCGATGAACAGGCAAGAGAAGGCAACGAGAACGGTGCCGGCCTGGGGAGTGTTGGAGGGGGTGACGGTGTCGAGGGCGAAGTGACCGACAAAGGCGTAGACGAAGAAGCACATCATCATCCACAGAGCACCGACGATGAGAGCAATACGTCGACCAGACTTCTTGACGACGACCAGACCGCCAAAGGTGCAAGCGACGTTGACGGATCCGAGAATGAGCTGAGTGACGTAGCTGTCGCTGAGACCGGTAGCGGAGAAGACGGTGGTACCGAAGTAGAAGAAGAAGTTGGCGCCCGT